CACGCAATTTCTCTTCATAATAGCGAGCGTCCCAATATAACACAGATCGATATCGTTTTCCAATGATTGACAGAATTGCTAACTAATTAATTGACAATAATTACACTAATAATAGGTATCCACTGTGAAATTGTTATCAGTGTTTGTAGTAATTAACCAATAACTGCTCTATTGCTGTTCGATATGTAGCTTTGGCGTTACAAATTACACCAAGAATGGAATGTAACATTAATTTACATTACATTCTGTTGTTAAAACGTGAATAATACAAAATATATTCGAAAACAAGTTTAGATATTTGAAGTGGAAATATTTGAATTCTTTACAATTATATAATATATATAAAGTGTTTAGGATATCATGTAAGAAAATAATGAAATAATGATTTTTGTCTTGGATTTGGTAGTAGCAAATTGGTTGAATATTTACTCAGATAGACTTTGTTCGAATTGTCTACGTATCGCTGTTTGTAATATATGGTAGTATGTGTAATTAATTAAAATAATATATCAATTTGCACTCCACTGTATAAACTATGTGTGTGCGAAATTTCATACTCCTTGATCAAGCAATTTTTGTAATAATACGTTTTTGCTTCACGTATTAATATAATTATTATTAACTTTATTATTACTAATATACAATTAATTTTTAATTTTACACTAGACGCGCAGGTTTTTAATCATAAAACTAGACAGATTACTCTATGTTATTTGATTGTAATACTTAAAAAATGAAAAATGGAAACTTATGTTGAAACTGTTTGACCCATTTAGTATAATATGCTTAACCATCTCATATTAATACAAAAGAAAATGTAAGAGGTATTGTACGGGAAGTTATTTCCTTTAAACAACTCTTCTGATATAAAACATTCAGTTGATCTACAAAAAATTCACGCCTCAGCTTGGGAGCACAGAAAATTCTACGCCTTGACAAGGTTATCTTGCATACGAAGTAAGTATAGTGTACACTGTTCATATATTCAAGCCTTTTGCTTTACAACTTGTTTGATCGCTTTATTTGCCAGTTTGACCGGACTGCAAGAAGATGCAATTCTTCTATTAATATTTACTCGAGTAAAGACGGAGCTGGTCACTAGGCTGCATTTTATATACAAGCCTTTTTTGGTCGCTTTATTTGCTAATTTGGCCGGATTGCAAGGAGATGCAATTCTTCTATTAATATTTACTCGAGTAAAGACGGAGCTGGTCACTAGGCTGCATTTTATATTCAAGCCTTTTGCTTTACAACTTGTTTGATCGCTTTATTTGCCAATTTGGCCGGACTGCAAGGGGATGCAATACGTCTACTTCGTATTTACCCGAGTAAAGACGAGGCTGATCGCTAGGCTGCAAACGATTCATATCGTCTAGATATTGCATCTTTATAAACATGTACAAGCTCATGAAAATACAAGAAATGTAAGAATTGCATTTCTTGTATTTTCTTGTCTTCAGCTCGAATGCACTCGGAATTGACGGTAGATTTTGACATATCATAGTCTGTAATAGACCTACATGAATAAAGATATTTTCATTCGATTTAATACTATTTAATATATCGATTTTATTTAATAAATGAGGTTAGTAAAAAATTACTACTTTTGTGAATTAGACTTATAGTTTCATATCTAAGGTCTCTAAGACCAAAAGTTTAAAATTTTAAGTTAATTTAAGTTATTAGTATAACTTAAAATGTGATAAACATCTTAAGTTATGAAATGCATTAAAAAATTTTCAACTTTTAGTCATAGAGACCTTAGATATAAAACTATAAAGTCCAATTCACAAAAGTAGTAATTTTTTACTTAACCTCATTTATTAAATAAAATCGATGTATGTATACATACGTAAAAAAGGGTTTTATGCACTACGACTAAGGTTTATTATTCTTTATTCGATGCGGAATGGTAAGTTTTTCAAATTCAGTACGTCCCATCAGATTTTGAATTCTGCATTTGAATTTCATATTACTCCCTGATAATATAGCTATATAGATATACGTATTAGTATATCTCTAAAATGCTACAAACGTAGAGATATTAAGTGGCCACAAATATATTAATGTAGATTAATATTTAATATATTATAATTATAGTCTAAAATTCCCAAATATGTGTGCTGCCCGAGAAGTCGAACACGTGAGTACCGGAGAATAAGGTTCTGTGCAAAATCGTTAAAACACTGAGATCGTCGTATTAATCGTGTACTCCTTATGTAGTAGACTGTATAGAATATATATATATACAATCCTAACTAACATTGGAAATCCTAAAGTGAGTTTGTCTGTTCGGTTTAAGCCCATTCATCATGAAATTTGCTATATTGAAATATTAGTCGTGCATGCAAATTAGGTATAGTTGCAATGTTCATATAACTTGTACACCAAATAGCCAGACTTAACTGGGTTGATCGATTTATTTACCGAGCTCAGTGCATACAGTGCAACGGATACTGGTTAACCGCATAGGTGTATATTATGTAAATAAAATTCAGTTAATGAATGTACAAAAATGCATTACCGCAGAAACGCTGAATATGTTTCAATATTTCTTTTTTTTTTAAGTTTTATAATAATAATAATAATCTCAAGACAATTCACACAGCCATCTAGACCCAAGTTAAGCTAGCTAAAGCTTGTGTTATGGGTACTAGATAAATGATACAAATACATAGATTTTTTTTGTAAATACATACATATTATACATAGAAACCACCCAGACCGATACAAACAGTCATACTCATGAATACAAATGTTTGTGCGTGCGAGGAATCGAACCCGCGACCATCGGACCGAGGTCGTTAAAGTTTCTTTTAATTTTCTTCTTATACTTTCTAAGTTTTAGTACATAGTGTGTAAAGAAAATAAGTAGTATTCATATGTGTTTTTGAAAGACTAAGAAAAAGTAGGTAGTCTCAATTCGATTGTATTTTATTTACACCACTAGTGGCATCAAAATATTTTTTTATAAAAATATCACAGGTTTTGTAAAAAAAATAATAAAAGATATTATAGTCAAACAAATTCACAACTTTTGATCACATTTCAGTACAATTACTGATAACTTTTGGATATACAAAACAATAAATAAATAGTATACATAAGCGTTAGTATGTTTTATATATGAATTAAATTATTTTAAGTAAAAATTGAAGTTTATCATAAAAAAATCTGTTTTATCCACAATACCTGCCTGCCTTTTAACGTACACTCTTTCATTCGCGAATAGGCTTTCATGCCGCAAAGAATATGCATGTAAATGTAGACAAAGAGAACAAGAAACAGGCGCCTTCAGCTCCCCCGTCTTTCAATAATGCTTTAACGCCTTTTTGTAATGACTAATTATAATTGTGAAATGGTGGATACGCTATTATAGAGCTCTCATATAATTAGAGTTATTAATAATTTATAAACTTTCCCCGCAAATGTTTTGCCATATAAAGTCCCTATTAAAAAATGGGGTGTATTGGTAATTGTGTATATTTTTTAATAAAAATTAAACTTGTCCGTAAAATAAAAAATATATGTTAGGGGTGCAACAACCCTTATCATTTAGAGGTATGAAAAATGTATGAATGAATGTGCATATAAAATTTCTTAAAAATTTGTCAAACTGTTTCGAAGGAGTATGGTAAACATTGTGACATGGATTTTTATATGTAAGATAAACATGTCTTTAGCAAACAGAATCTTAGAAAAAAGTAAAGTATTAACATATAGGGAAATAAAATTAACCATACGTGTTATCACGCACGAAAGAGTAAACACAAAAATTTGTGAAATACAATGACTCGCAGCTGCACCGGCTTTCGCGCGATATATCGCGCGCGCTCCTTATCGCAGGCGAAAGAACATATCGCAAAATGTATGGTATTCAGTCGATATGTAGGTTTAAAATAGTATCTAAAAATACGTGGTCCGTACTACATAAAACTGTGTAATTATAAATTATATCCTGTCCAAGTATGTCTATATCACTCACGCTGTCTTTCCCGCGCTCTCCGAATCGCGGGCGAAAGTACATATCACAAAAAGTGAGCTTTAGTCGATATGTTGATTTCAAATAACGTATGTTTCTACATAAAACTGCGTAATTGTATTCTGTCCAAGTATGTTAATATAACTCACGATTGCCCGCGCTTCTAATCGCGGGCGAAAGTACATATCGCGAAAAGTCAGCCATTTAGCCGATATGTTGAATAACAAACTTATCTAAAAACAAAACGTATAGTATAAACTAAAGTCGCTGTCGTTGCTTGTACCTATCCGTCCCTATGTATGCTTAAATCTTTAAAAACAACGGATATGGATGCGATTTTTTTATAGATATATAGAGTATAGAGTGATTTAACAGGAAGGTTTATATGTATGTGTACATATATACCTGTGTGAAACTGGGGCGAGTAGCTTGTTTCTACATAAAACTGTGTAATTTCCAAGTATGTTAATATTGATCCATACTAAAATCGCGTGATTGTTTATTTATTATCTTTTCACGAGTACACAATTAAACGAGTGTTATTATTTTGAATGAAAATAGTTTGTATCACGAGCATGTACATAATTTTTTTATTTTATATACCCTCGCAACTTCGTCTGCATTCACAATGAATGTGGATGGTTATAAGAGCAGAGGAAGATCAAAAAAGTGATGGATGGGTAATGTGAAAGATGACATGGTAAGTAAGGGAGTAAATAACGAGATGACTGTGAACACAGGGATGAATGGAAGAGAAAACATATTACGCCGACCCCAAATAAATGTGATAAAAGAAGGAGCAGATGTTGATGATAATGAGCAAGGATGATAATGATATTTTACAAATATAAAGTTATAGTAACAATTAATATAATATATTTAAAAAAAACTGGCTCCTTTCATACGAAGTTGTTGAAACTATTCATTACACGAAAACATAAGTGCAGACTTCGCAAACAACTATTTGTAATACAGCGTGTGTACAGAATTAATTCGGTGAATTCTTTTATCCTTACAGTCGATGTGTTCAAGTAGTAGACTACTGGGATTAATATACGGTCTAAATGTGTCCGTTTTATATCTGGGCGGGTTTAAAGTAGCCGTAGTTATGTGGGTGTATGGCGTACGGAGGTTCTCCACAGACGTACATTTCTGGCTCGGCTTCAAGCCAACAAAGTTTTGGACAATATTCTGGACGCTGCTGCCCATCATTCTATTTGTAAGTTTTTCAAACGTTTGCTAATGTAATCTAAGCTTGTACATTTGTTATATTTTTTTTAATGTAGTTAGAGTTTCTGCTGTTAGGACAATAGTTATTCATACATGAGATTTTCCTTTAATGTTAGACATAGACACCTATATATGTATACAATTGTATATTATATACTTATCTATGTGTCTAAAGGTATAATATATAGTATATATATAGGTATAATAGTAGTACATAAACTGTTTAAGTATATATCAAACCAAATCAAAAAACTGGCAGCAAAATCAATTTAATTTAGTTTTTTTAGAGCTTTTAAAAAAATCTAAATACATTTTAGATTTTTGCCAGTTCTTCTCAATTGAATCTAAACTGAACTGAATGGACGGCAGGGAAAAAATGTTGTTACAAAAACGTTTGAAGTTCATAAGTGGCTAAAATGTACTATATGAATAAATGATTTTTGACTTGGTTTGATATATATTTGAACAAAACATGGCTTGCCAAGCAAGCAGCTAGGCGGCTAAAATAGATAAGACTGAGCATGAGGTACCTACAAAGGCGAGATTTTATTGTCTACCTCTACATATTATAAAAAGTATAGTGATAAATTTTGTTAATTTGTTAGACATTTTTTTTCCTAAAGTCTAGATAACAATGTTGCTTAATAACATTAAGCAACATTGTTATCTAGACTTATACATATATGTAAATAGTTTTGGTAGTTGTAAAAGATAAATGTACAGAAATTGTAGACGTTCAAAATTATCTAATTGTTTGTTGTAGAAAATATGTGAAGCATTATATTAGGTTTTATATGAATTACAAATAGGTAACATGCATTCTTTATTAAATAATTACAGACATAAAAATGAAATGTACAAATAGAAAAAATTGTGGTAGCTTTATGTGTCGTAAAGGTGAATAGGCAACACTGATAAAACTGCTGATGTTGATATGATGTTGGCTTACTTGAAATAGAAATAATGTTTATTGAAAATAAACTCAATACAAGCATTTTTTAACAGCCATATTATTTATTCTACCACTCATTTGGAACGCAGATTCATCACAAGAAGATTGAGCAAGAAACATGTGTGTTGCTCTTTTGAATATATTTTCTTATATATAAATAATTACACAATAACAAGTAAGAGGCGTGTGATAATCGACATAGAAACAAAATGTTACGTACAACATTAAAAAAAAAACGAGCTGTGTTTTTTGTCAGTTCTTCTCATCTCGAAATCATTCCGAACTGACGGTAGATTTGACATATCATAAGAGTCTGTAATAGACTTACATGAATAAAGATATTTTGAATTTGAATAGAAACCGCTACGCACTTCTTAGTGCAGATATTATTGTCAGCGCTTTGAAATTTAAGTTTTTCTACAATAACAGAGGAATTTATGTACATTGATACAGTCAAACATTCCTCGAGTCTAATATAATATGATTGTGCAAGATGTTAAACTGTTCATTCATCAAGTAAATACTTTGAAACTAAAGAATGCCTTTGCTATAGAAATGCTGTAATAGCAAATTTTAACCAAACGGCAAAGATGCCGTGCATAAAGCATGAATCGAGATTTTCGCACAGACATAGTTTTAATTACATTTCTGTAAGGACACCAGAAGTTATTTATACTCTAATAATATAACTTAAGGTTGTAAAATCCAATTTTAAAATAAAAAAATATTATTAATGCTAGTTGGTGGTATGTATTCGCAGGTTTCGAATTGGAAATGTAAAATTACAATGATTATTTAAAAGAGCAACACACAAGTTTCTTACTCGTTCTTCTTGTGATGAGACGGTTGTAAAAACTCATTTTAAAATAAAAAAAAATTATGCTAGTTGGTGGTTTGTATTCGCAGGTTTAGAATTGGAAATAAAATTACAATGATTATTTAAAAGAGCAACACGCAAGTTTCTTTCTCGTTCTTCTTGTGATCAGACAGCTTTCGGAATGAGCGGTAGATTAAAAGAATAATAACTATGACTATTCGAAAGTGTTTAAATTAAGTTTATTTGAATAAATTATTTTCTATTCTATTCTCTAACCATGTGTGCATACTAAACTCGCTCAAGAGATTAGGGCTAGAATTAGTGGAACATCGCTTATGTTAATGTAGTCACCACAAGATTTCGAATCTTTAGATGCCTGTATCTAAAGCCACTAGCGTCGCTTTCATACATTTATTGTAGAGAAGTCAATTTCAAAAATAACATAGCCTAAATAACTGAAAGGCTTTTTAAATAGAAATAGAAATAGAAATAATCTTTATTCATATAAACTCATTACAAGCACTTTTGAATAGTCATATTTTGATTCTACCACTCATGAGGAATGCAGATTCATCACAAGAAGAATGAGCAAGACACTTGTATGTTGCACTTTTTAATAGATGTTTTTTTTATATAAATAATTACAGTATAACAAGTAAGAGGCATGCGATAATCAACATAGAAATCGCTACGCACTCATTATTAGTGTAATCAGATAATATTGTCAGTGCTATGGATTTAAAGATTTTCTATAAATACATTATTATCGTTAACGAATTCTTTAATTTTATAGTAAGCTTTTTTGCAAAGGAATTCATTGACAGCCTTGGCGGTTTAGCGGTTACACAACGCCTTACTATCTATGGTCGCGGGTTCGATTCCTCGCGCAGCACAAACATTTATATTTATGAATAGGATTGTTTATATCGCTCTGAGCGTTTTCTATATAAAATATGTATGTTTTTACAAAAAAAATCTATGTATTTGTATCAGTTATATATATATATATCTATATTAGTACCCATAACACAAGCATTAGCTAGCTTAACTTGGGTCTAGATGGCGCTGTGTGAATTATCCTGAGATTATTATTATTAAATTCGGTTATACACTATGTTTTCAATTTTAGTTTATTATTACAATAAATTATATTACGATTTTTAGAATATTATTTATTTATACACTTTATATTTAATTATATTAAACACATAACACACTGCAGTGACAATCGCCATTTTTATTTCTCTCTTCTTTGTTTTTTTTTGTACTATTATTTATATTATTTTCATGTACCTTTCTGAACAATCTTCCTTATGTATTACTGTTGTTCATAATGACATAAACTATAATGTTAATATAGTCGATCTATCTATATATTGTCGTCATCGATCCATTATTGTATTATTTTACTGATAAAGGCTATAACAGAATAGCAGAGAGGGTGGACTCACTGCCCCCACTAAGTACAGACCGTTTTTGTCTCCTTCATAAGTTTTAATCATTTTATTTTATTATTGTATGGACAACAATTGTATTAGTTTTTGTTTGAGACAAATAAAGATTATTATTATTTTTTTTTTTTTTTTTCTCAGCTTTTGCTGGTTTTCTCCACACTTACGGGCCGAAACCAAATAAGTGCGTAGTGTGTGTATGTGTGCGTGCGCGTGTATGTACTATTATTATTACTATTGTTTTTTTTATCAAAAATTCACATCTCCTCTCTTAAGGAGAGGAGATATCAACTTACCCCCGGCAGAAGCACAGTCGGCCGGGGTTCAGGGCCCCAGAGAAAGAAAACGGCGTACAATGCGGGCAGAATCCAAGAGCACCGCTTTCTGCATCTTTCCCGGGAGTGAGCCGCCTCGGAATCCCAACCGTCTGAGATGTTGCTCCAGACTGGTTGGGATAAGACCGTTCACCGACATAACGATTGGAATGATTTCGGTGGACACCACCCCCCACATTTCGGTCACCTCGTGAGCCAGGTCGAGATACTTTCTCTTTTTCTCAGTTTCGGCTTTCACGAGGTTCTCGTCATACGGTATGGTGACGTCCAACAAAAACACCATTATTATTATTATTATTATTATTATTATTATTATTATTATTCTCTCTATCGTCTCACTCTTTGTTGCTTGATTTATTATTATTATTATATTATTCATATTTATATAAGTGTGTGATATTTCAATAAATGTCTTATATGTCTCTATTCCATTCGTTTATTTAAACGATATAGTGGTTTGTATAAGTACATCAGTTTCACCTAATTCAGCCAGCAAGCATCTTGCTTTGTAAGATATGTCTCGGTTTCCAAAGATCCATTCACCTGACTGATGAATTTCACTCCCCTATGTAATGCATTGAAATGAGAGTATAATATACATAACATATTAGTCTATAGTAGAGGCATCATGGTCATAAAGGGATAACGAGACATCTGTATTTATATAATTATGTATATACTAGCTGTACCCGCGACTACATCCGCGTGGAATTTAACTTTATTTTTCTAAAATAAATGTAGCCTAAGTTACTCCTTATTACATCAGCTACATGCCAATAAAAGTCCGGTCACAATCGGTCCAGCCTTTTCAAAGATTAGCTGGAACAAACAGACAGAGAAAAATTGTAAAAAATGATATTTTGGTCTGTGTACCGTATTTATATCCATATATGGATGTAGTAAAAAACGGTTATTTCAATATTACAAACAGACACTCTAATTTTATTTATATGTATATACAAGTCTATAAAATAAATACAGAATAATCTTTTTTTTCTCTTCACAGTACTATTTCAGATATATTACAGTTAATATATCTAGCAAAAGTTGACATTTAAAACTAGCACAATTTAAGTTACTTACCGCTACGAATCTTAAACTAAAGGTGTCAACTGAATTAGGTAGATAAAAAATTTACACACATAAAGTGACTAAAACTGTCTTATAAGAGCTCTCGGATTGGTTTGCATTTTGGGATCGCGATAGTCTTATAAAATGCATTGCAAAATAGAGTAGAAGTAGTGCTTTTTAAAAATAATTTAAGTTAAAGTGCTCTTTACTAGTATTAATTTCTTAAAAACGTCATTGCAACACTCCCTTGCATATCTGGACATTTTAGTAAGCTTCACTCACCAGATAATTCGATTACTTATCTATTTTGCACTTCCTCATTTATTTTGTATGCTAAATCTGATATCCGTTAATATGTTAAAA